AATCTTTGGCAGGTTGAAATATAGTTTTTCCAACATCATTTATTAAAAGGCTATCTTTCCTCCAATGAGGATGGTTGGCTCCTTTGTCAAAGATGAGGTGGCTGAGTATGTTGGGAGTTGTTTCTACATCTTTTAATCTATTCCACTGATCTTCAGGTCTGTTTTTTTGCCAGTACCATGCTGCTTTTCTCACAGTAGCCTTGTAGTATAGTTTCAAATTGGGGATTGTGATACCTTGTATCATGTCTCTGTTGCCTAGAATTGCTCTTGCTATTCTAAGCCTCTTCTGGTTCCATGTGAATTTTTGGATTGTTTTCTCTAGTTCTGCGAAATATACTGTTGGTATTTCAATCGGGATTGCACTGGTTCTATACCAGTTTTGGAAGTATGGCCATTTTGACCATATTCATTTTTCCTACCCAGAAGCAAGGGATGTCTTTCCATTTTCTTATATCCTCTTTGATCTCTTTTTTCAGAGTGCTGTAGTTTTCAGTATAGAGGTCTTTTGCTTCCTTTCTTAGACTGATTCCAGCATGTTTCATTTTTTTGGATGCTATTGTAAAAGGAATTGTTTCCCTAATTTCTCTCTCAGTGAGTCTCTTTTTTGTGTATAAGAAGGCTATTGTTTTTTGAGGGTTTACCTTGTATCCAGCTACTCTACTGAATCTGTCAATTAAGTCTAGAAGTGTTTTGGCAAAGTTTTTTGAGTCTTCTATGTAAAGTATCATATAGTCAGGAAATAATGACAGTTTAACTTCTTCCTTTCTTATCCTCATTCTTTTTATTCCTTTCTCTTTTCTAATTGGTGTGGCTAATGTTTCCAGAACTATATTGAACAGGTGTGGTGTTGTTCCTTGTCTTGTTCCTGATTTTAGTGTGAAACTTGTCAGTTTTTGACCATTTAGTATGATGTTGGCTGTTGGTCTTTCATAGATAGCCTTAATCAGGTTGAGATAAAGACCTTGTATTCCAATTTTCTGTAGCGTTTTTAACATGAATGGGTGTTGGATTTTTCAAATGCTTTTTCTGCATCTATTGAGATGATCATATGGTTTTTGTCATTGGCTCTTTTAATATAGTGTATTATGTTTATTGATTTATGTATTTTGACCCATCTTTGAGTCCCTGGGATAAATCCGACTTGGTCAGGGTGTATGATCTTCTTGATGACTCTCTGTATTCTGTTTGCCAGTATCTTGTTGAGGATTTTTGCATCTATGTTCATTAGGGCTATTGGCCTGTAGTTCTCTTTTCTGGTTGGGTCTTTCCCTGGTTTTGGAATCAAAGTAACATTTGCTTCCAGGAATGAATTTGGAAGTATTGCTTCCCTTTCAATTTCCTTGTTGAGTTTAAAGAGTAATGGTGATAGTTCTTCTTTAAATGTCTTTTGGAATTCAGCAGTGAAGCCATCAGGCCCTGGGCTTTTCTTTGCTGGTAAATTTTTTATTACATTTTCAATTTCACTTACTGTAATTGGAGTGTTTAAAATTTCTATTTCTTCTTCATTTAACTTTGGAAATTTGTGTGCATCTAGGAATCTGACTATTTCTTCTGTGTTTTCCATTTTATTAGAATATAGGTTCTCTAAGTAGGTATTGATGATCTATCCCATGGATTTCTGCTGGATCTGTTATGATTTCAACTTTTTCATTCTTAATTGCACGGATTTGAGCCTTTTTCTTTCCTCTTTTTGATAAGGTTGGCTAAAGGTTTATTGATTTTATTTATTCTTTCAAAAAACAAACTCTTTGATTCATTGATATTTGTATCATTCTCTTAGTCTCCATTGCATTGATTTCTGCTCTGATCTTTATAATTTCCTCTCTTGTAAGAGCTTTGGGTTTGTTATGCTCTTCTTCTTCTAGGATCTTGAGGTTCTGCATTAGGTTGTTTCTCCAGCACTGTTAACACAATGTTTGAGTGACAGAAAAAATTCTTCTTTGTTTTTGAATAAGTACTTTCTTTCTAGGATGTGCAGTCTTGGAATGAAGACAGTGGTGAATTTCTATGCCTAGCTTTAGGACTTACGGATTTTTGAGGTGCCTCACTGAACCAGCCGCCCCTCTGTCCATGCACCCCAGACTGTGTTTACAGTTCAAGGCACTGTGTGTCCTTGCTCACACTGTTAGATACAAAAGGTGATTGACCCTCTGGTCTGGTATCTGCTGAATGGTAGGTGTCTCTCCCCAGGCAATGCCTTCATCCAGGATCAGATTGATTATTTTCCACCTCTACTGCCACATGCCATGGGGGACCAAAATGTAGAGCCAGCTTGGAACTGGCAGACGCTGGTGTCTTTTTTTTTAGTTTTATTGTATTATTTCACATAGTATAAGTTGCCTTAGTCACTTTCTTGTCCTGAGCCAAAATATCTGATACCTACAACTCTAAGGAGGAGAGGTTTATTTTTGCTTGTAGTTTCAGTCCATGGTATTCTGGCTCCAAGGCAGAAGCAGGATGGCACAGAAGAATAACAGAGGAAAAAATTCTTAACCTATGGTAACCAGGAACCAGAGAGAGAAGGGAGAAGCTGGGGAGGGGGAAAACTCTTCTTGCTTGTATCAGGGGCTCCATGAGAGCAGAACGTTTATACTGATTTCTGGAATAATGATATTAAAAGCTTATGTGAAAATTATTAGTTAACATTTGTGATAATATTAATAACTAAGTGCAGGAAATTGTGTTCAAACTGTATTTACTGATTTGTATGACTTTACAGAAAGGTAACATTTTGCTTCCATTTATAAAAGTATGCAATCATTAAGATTCAGTCTAGTTCTGTGAGACTCAAAGTTGGAGATTTGGGAATGGCATTTATTTTCATTAAACGTGTCTCTTAAGATTCAAATTTTTAATATATAAGAGAGTACTATCTTGATAAAACCAATTAATAACAGGCATTGGCTATGTCTGCCTTATCAAGTGAAGTAAACATAATGAAGTTATAAAAAATGAAACATATAATTCCCCCAGCTCCAAGCAACAACAAAAGCAAATAAGAAAACCTTTAGCCTCCCTTCTGGATACTTACATCTGGAAATATTCTATCTAGATCAAAAAGTGAGTCATTTTTTATCAGTTCTCCAACTAATTAATAAACAAAGAGTGCAAGTTTCAAACTTTTGAGGGACAGGCATCATTTGGAGGTCTTACCCAAAGCACTCTCTCATATTCTACTCAAGATAAAATTTTAAAATCACAAATGACTCTAAAATGTTCTTAGTTCTTTTGTGAAGTTTGTTTTCTTTAAATGCTTAAAAAATCCAATCAGAATTATAGACTACTTCAACCCTTACATTTATAACAGCAGCCTCACTAAACCATTTATGTAATTACATTGTTTCCTTCTCATGGCGACAAGCTTCATTTCAATTTTATAGCCAATTTTGTTGTTGATCAAACCACCCAAAGGAACTCTTACTTTTTCATTTAGCAATATCAGGAATGTTGTCTTCTTCCTCCTCTTTCTTCTTCTTCCCTATTTTATGAGAGATGTTACAAAACAAATTATCAAAAAATGTTCTCACAAATTTCAAGATATGAAGAATGAGAAATATTTCATACTTTTATCCTTTTAACCTTACTAGAAATCAGTTATCCAAAAGAAATTAAACACCCTTAGCATTTTGTAAATATATTCTTCTACCAATAGTTCAGTAAGTCTACAGGTTCAAGATAAATTGAGGCTGAGGTTCACCTTTGTCTTAATGGAACAGAACTATGATGAATGGATCTAATGGAGAGCACAAAATATTGAGAAATCTAAATATAATTGATTAGAATCAAATGCTTAGAAAGGAATGACAGCTATAATCACATGTTTACCATGTTAATTCCATAAGTCACAAGGAGAGTTGAAAGTTTGTCAAAATTTTCTTGCTACTTCTCTAAGCATGTCTTCATGGAATAATATGTCAGGTTGGTAAACTGTAGTAAAATTGTTATACATTGTGTAAGTCAACTGAAAACTTTATCTAGGTAGAACAAATTATTTGTTTTTGTTTGTCCTTCAATAGTCTCTTTTCCTTTATACTTTTCTCTTTTGTCATTTCTTCATCAGAGATTTGTTTCAATATAAAGAACATGACATAATCCTGTCTCAAGGATCTTAATATAGAGGACACAAGGAAAATTACAACTATAGTTTATGTTGATTAGTGCTTTGGTAGATGACAAGGTAGAGGAGGAACAAATGACTGAGGAATGAGACAGGGGGGTTCATGATGGAAATATCTTAACAAAATAAGAAATAGGAAAGTGACTTTGGAGAAATGGAGAACGGAAAATGATTCCAGAGAGTAACAGGCACTACTGTGACAAAAGCAGTGGCCTAGTGGTGTTTATATTCTCTTTGGTTTGTTTTTATAACTGATACCACTTAGAAATTTAAAACTTGTCTACAGATAGCCTTTATACTCAATTGTATACTACTTGGGATTGAACTCAGGTTCTTAACACTCTGCTACATCTACAGCCTTTTACAAATTAAAAATTTTTCCTTTAAATTTTGAGATGGGGTCTTGGTGACTTATTAAGTTGTTCAGGCTGGGCTTGAAAGTACAGTACTCCTGCCCAATCATCCCAGAGCACTATGAGCATAGGCATAGGCCACTACACTGGGCTGAACTGTCACAACTTTTTAATTTACAGAAGCTTAATTTTAAGAAAAAGCCATTTGATGTCTAATGCCTATTACAGAATAAGATGATGGTCAAAATTATTAATATGCATTTAAAAATATTGTTTCATATAATGTCATCTTGGAATACTTTGAACTTGTTGGAAGATACGTTTCTTTCCTTTTGGGCAGGAGACCAAAGCTGAAATAATTGCTAGAGAGAATAAGAAGAGGTTACTTGCCAAGGAAGAACAAAAAGAAGAGCAAAAATGGAAAGCTCTATCATTGTCTATTGAAGAAGAAATGACAAAAAATTTAAACTCTGGAGTAAAGGACTTGGAAGACTTTTTGAAATCATGTAAAAGTAACTCAGTGAAAGTTCAAGTTGAAATAGTCGGTCTTACTGCCTGCTTGAAAGCATGGAAAGTACACTGTCGAGGTGAAGGTACATGATTGTGTTTTCTTATTTTGGTGAACTGGACAACTATAGAAATGTTATGATAATAGTAGTCATTTGTTAACTGGAAATTTGTGTTTGATGATTTATGTGCATTATTTGATTTATTAAGTGTTATTATCTCCATTTTATCAATGAGCAATTACATTTCAGGATTTCAGTAGCAAATACAGAGCACAGTCATAAATACAATCAAAGATAAGTTTTAAAATAGCTACATATCAAATAGTGGCATGATTAAAGGAGCCAACAAAGATGGTGAGGCACCCTGGGAGAATCTATCATTCTCTTTTGTATTCCAAAGCATAAATATTTTCTTTCTGGGGAAATTGATGTTTGTCTACCATGCTGAGTTCTCCCAAACATGCCGTGGAGTCCATGTGTTCTGGAATACAATTTCTACAGCAGGGAGTAGAAATGAAAAAGAGAAAGAGTGAAATAAGAAGGGGCAGAGAAACAAAATGATTGTGTTTCATAATACCTCCAACATGATAGTCTGTTTGAGTAAACCTGGTTGATGTCAGTTTTGAGATTTCCACACTTGAATCTTTAACACATTACTTTCATGTTCTCTCCATCATCCAATTTCCCCCTAAATTTTATTTCTTTACCTTCAATGTGTGTTCTAGCAAATTCCATGTTTCATCGTGTATTTTATCCTAATAAGAGGCATAAGACTTAACAGAATATGTTGTTCTCACCAATCAAGATGAGTAATCACATTTGCAGTTGGCTGCTCCTAAGAGAAATTAAGAGTGGCTTAAAGAATATAGTAGTTTACTCATTTAAATGAAGCTCACCTGTGATCTGTATAGCTTGATAGCTGGACAGTGGCACCAGTGACCCAAGCTTCTCTGTTTTGGTCATTATCCTTGGCATGTGTTCCGTTCTTCAGGCTGTCTTACATTCCTAAATGACTGTATTCTAGCAAATGTTGGGAGAAAGGGAAGAAGGCAAATTCTTCTCTGTCTATTAGACTATCTCTGTCTTTTATGGAGTTTTCCTGTTATCAGCAACTTCCTCTTAAATATTATGAGCCAGAATTTGGTGACAAGAATACATTTAATCACAAGGGGTGTTGATAAATGTAAGCTTTTACCTGGATACATTGAAGTTTCTTACAATATGGAAGGAATTATAAGGATTAATAATGAGTAGAGAACTACATAGTAGTATTTGCCACAGCGGTCTATGGCCTTGTTTTTTATCTGTCTAAACTCTATTCTCCAAATCCATTTCATGAAGCATCTTTCCATAAGGCCTTTCCTTGATAGGGCTCACATTACACCTGTATTTTCTGTTACATACTGTGCAACAATCAAATTATTGTATATTGACTTTGTAACTGGATGGGGAGCTCTTGGAGGGTAAGAACTTTCTATTAAATTTCTTGGATAGCCTTTTATTGGATTCATTAAGTGTTCAGTAACAGGTGTTGAACAGATAAAAAATAGGCTGGTTTAAGAAAAGTGGATACACAGGAACGCTGACATGGTAAGTATGAAAACATTAGCAGAAAGGAAGAGTATAAAGGATATATATGACCCTAAAGGAGTGGAGAGGGATTGTGCAATTCTGCATCTGGCAGTTGAAAGAGATGGATTGAATTGAAAGACTCCAATGATTACACCAAATGCATATCTGTGATCAAAATCAGGGATCAGTAAGTATTGCTAAATTTGTAATCAGACATTTAAAGTTATACACATATTTCCTTTGAACACAATAGAAGATAAAATAATAGATGGAGACATGACTTCTTATTCTCCATAAACTTCTAAAACGCAATCTCATTTCTATCATGAATTACAAGATTTTTCTTTAGTCTACCATTAGCATAGCTATGCTCAAATATTCATGGAGATGATGAAGCATGAATAATAAACCTTTACTTTTATTTTTTCCTCTCTACTTCAAAACCTCTGTTAATGCCAAGTAAGACAGTAAGTTTAATTAAGATTAACAGCCCAGGTGATTGATCTTATATATTAAAAATCTACTATTTGATGGTTTTCTATAACCATTTTATTGTTTTTTGTTTTTTTTTACAAAGGCAAGACCACAAAAGATTTCAGTATAGCTGTCCAAATGATGAAAAGGATCCACCCTTTGATGAATAAATACTCAGATCTTCTACAAGATGCAGATCGGCAGTTCATAGGCAGATGCCTTAATTATTTAGGATTTGATGAGTTGGCAAAGTCTTTATATACTGACCAGGTAATATTTGAAGAGTGTAACTATTAGGTATACATGAGTTTTTTGAAAAATATAATAATATCTTTATATTTTGTTTACTGAAAATATTATCATTATTAGTTATCCAAACGCCCAATCTTGAAGTAGTAGAGAATTAGAGATTTATAAATGCTTTCCTGGACAAACAGTCTAAATGTCAGATAATTTGTATAGACCGTAGAATTAATCCTATAATTGATTTTAGCAAAACATCTCAAAACTATGATGTAATAATTCCATTTTTAAAATATATCAGGTCATAGCTATAAGTCCCATGATGGATATTTAAAAATTTTGATGTCTATTAATTTATTTACCATTAAGAGAATAATTTAAATGGTAATGTCTTTACAAAATTGAAAAAGTAGTAAAATGGTTTTTACATAGAAGAAACTTAAAAATATATATTTTAATTGTTTAAATGATATTCATTTAAACCACTTTCAAAATGGTCTTTGAAATAATATAGGATGTAGTAGATGACATAAAGAAGAAGAATAAGTATTTAATTGGCATTGGGCCAGCTCGATTTCAACTGCAACACATGGGCTATCATTTGATACGAGAGGAAAGAAAAGATCCAGATCCGAGGGTCCAGGATTTTATTCCTGATACTTGGCAGGTAATGATGCTGATGCAAATGAAAAAAACCTCAGGTTTATATGTGAATGCAGGAATTTCTTAATATATTATTCAACTTTATATATTATATCTGGAATAGACTTAATATTGAATAGTTATGTGAAATACCAAATATTGACTTTTTCCTCACATAATAAAAGTATCCTTTTCATGTCATCCAGCTGAATCATTTTGGAGCACCTTCCTGATTTTATCCGTGTCAGTAGGATTTCATATATAGGTGTATAAATGTATGCAGAGAAATTTGGTTCCTTTACACAATGTAGACAATTGTTTAGATATTTATTCTTTGCAAGTACTATTCTTCTATAAATGTATATAAAATAGCTACACATGGTTATAAAATTGGAAGAAATTGATCCAATTTTGCATATATTGGCCATATAAAATTGAGAAGACATTGAGCATACTTCCATATGTTTAGTCTAATAGACTGTTTCACTTAGAATCAGACTATATGTAAGCTTTTCATTACTGTAATGAAATACATGAGGTATGCTAACTTTATAAAGAGGTTTAGTTAGGTTACAGTTCTGGAAGTTAAAAGTCCAAGATCAGGTGGAACCATTAGTTTGGCCCCCATGAGGGCTTAACAGCAGAATAATATGACCTCAAGGTGGGAATGAAGTGGGAGAAAATGTCCTATCTTCAAATAAGTAGAGAGAAAGCTGAGCGAGGTTGGGCTCAGGCTTTTTATAACTACATTGTCTGGAGAACGACCCGGACTCCCACAGCAACTACCTTCCCGAGCTCACTCCCAGTGCCTAGGGGCCTCCCACTCCACTCTGCCCCTCAGTAAAGATTCTCTTAATGCTGTACACCCTGGGGAGCAAGTTTCTAACACAAGGATTCTTGGAGAACACTAAAACCATACTCGAACCACAGCCTAGACTTTGTCTTCCTTCTATTAATAATAGTTGGCTACTGTAAAAGCTTCATGCTCCCTTTCCATCAGTAGGAGGACTAATTTCTTATTTCAGTGCAGGCCATAAGGGAAACAAATGCTCTCCATTAACTGTATGCACGTTGTAACTCTCCTGATGCTTACTTCACTATGAGGTGTGATTGAGAGTGGACCTAGACTTAACAGGGGTGCAAGTTTGAATTCGAAAGTATTTTTCCACCCTCTGTACATCATAGGCTTACAGTTCTTTTGACTAGATGTCCTGTTGCTGAATAAAAACATAGGCTGTGGAAATGAAGCTCCAACCTGACCTCCAGATTAGGCACCTTGTATTCTATACAGAAAGTAGCTGATGGGTAGCACAATTAAGATCTTTGATGTTTTTCCTAACCAGCCATTTTTTCCTCATTACAAATTATGAAATTGCTACTTCTTAGAGTATTGTTTCTCAAAGCCATTCTATACTTACTAAATGACAAATAACTACAAGGAAATCTTCCCAATAACAGGATGTTTGATTGAGACTTCCTTTCCATTTTTCAAAAGTAAAACTCAACTTACAGATACTCAAAAGAAGATAATTTCTCTGAGAGAATGACGTGTTTTTCAGATATTTTAAATTTTTTTCTGTGCAATTACAAATTTCAAGCATTCCACTTGAGACTCATAAAATCATATAGGAAATATTTAATATATTTGATTTGCTAACGTGTCGCTTATATTATTGAAACATATTGTACTCTCAACCCTGCAGCGAGAACTCCTTGATGTGGTGGATAACTACGAGTCAGCAGTGATTGTTGCCCCAACATCCTCAGGCAAAACCTATGCTTCCTACTACTGCATGGAGAAAGTGCTGAAGGAGAGCGATGAAGGGGTGGTTGTGTATGTTGCACCAACCAAGGTAGCGTTCAAGATCATGTAATTTGCTCTTTCATTCCTAAACCTCCTTTAAAAATGCTGCATGTGGTCACAGGATAAATCTAGTTCACTTTATTTCTTAACATGCAAATTTTTATTCCAGTTTCAGAGGCTAAAATATCACCTTCTTTGGAACTATTTTTTAAAAATCTAGTCTTGCAATCTTGGGCAGTGAACTAAGGGCATGGTATCTCCTCTGCAGGGCTCATGGAAGATGTCCTATCTGCTGTTAGGCACTGAGGACTGGTCTGTTTCTCAATCCTGCTTACTTTACCAAATTTCCTTTGTGTTAGTTCTGCTGAGTTTGAACTTAAAAAATACAAAACAAAAAAATGATTGGGCCAGGAATTTAGCTCAGTGGTTTCACCACCTGCTGCGCAAGCTCAAGGACCCGAGTTCTATCCCTGGTACCAAAAACAAACACAAAACAAAAAACCAATGATTTTTGTGTTCTAGGAGGAAGTTTGATTTATCAGAATTAAAGTCTTCATTTCCTCGTTCACAATGTTTTATTTATTAGAGTACCTCTACAGAAGTTTAATTGGGATGATTGTAGATCTAGCTCGGGTGACTTCCAACTAGAATGGAGTAGGTTGACTTTAGTTTTTGGAAAATGTGTAATGTTGAATGATTCCTGATCAGCCTGCACAACAAATTAACATACATTATTAGCTTAAATTAGTGTTTTATTTTTGTTGTAGCTTTGTTGTTTTTCATATTATAAAAACAATAAGTTACCATTGCAGGAAGTTTATAAACTATGTCTATAAAAATTAAGATTATTAAAAATGGAGTTGGTGAATTGAACACAGAACATTTTGGCAAATTACTCTTTTTAAATTTTAAATCCACTGTAATTCCCTCTGCTATATCATAGTATACATTCTCAACTTTGCCAACATTTCTATTGCCATTTAATGAATTTTGCATACTCATAAGTGAAAATTAGTCTTTCATCTTTAGATTAACATCTCTATGCTTAGTGATTTGGAGGCACTTTGATAATGATATTTGAAGACTGGATTTCTTTACTCATAAAGTTTTCATGGATGCATCTACCCACTTTTTCTTTTGGAGGGGGATAAATATTATTAATAAATCAAAAACTTCATATAGAAAATTGCTAAATCTTTTGAATTAAATGATGGTAAAATATTCTTTCATTTTTCATTTTCTTGTTTTATTTTCTTATGGTTATTTTGATGATAATAATAAAATATTTACATATTCAGAATTACCAATATTTTCATTTGAGATTTTTTTATGTGTTGAAATTTATGAAAATGTCACCTCCTAATAACTTTATGGTTGCAATATGAAATTTACAACTTAATCCAGATGGATTTTCAATTTCTTTGGCATCAAGTGTGAGACAGTTGTATTCAGGTTTATAAATTGCACTGAGAAGGCCACTTGCTTGATCCTGAGCAGTGTTCTACCTATTCACGTATTCACTCAACTTCAGGCATCTAGGGTATATCCCTAAATAGAAGAGACACAAGTATATCTTAGGTATCTTTCACTTAAACTTCATTCTGTGGTAAAAATCAGTTTTTTTCTAAGTGTTAGTCATCCAAATATTATGCTATTCATGTATTTTATTTCCTACATGCAGGCAACATTTTAAAATTTGTATTTCAAGGGAAGACTTTTCCTTTTTCTTCTTTTTTTAAAATTTTAAGTTCAAGTTTATTAATGAGATTCATAATTTTAGTTCAGTTTCTCAAAAGGAATGATTTATTTTACAGTATTTAGAAAGATGGGTAGAAGAAAGTGTTACTAAGCTTCTGTATATCTAGCAGGACATACTGTTGTACAATTCCTGCTATCCTTTGACATTTCACCTATCTATACTTTATTATGTGACTAATGGTCTTTTTCCTTGTCCATCAGGCCCTTGTTAATCAAGTGGCAGCAACTGTTCAAAATCGTTATACTAAAAATCTGCCAAATGGTGCAGTAGTATGTGGTGTTTTTACAAGGGACTATGGTCAAGATGCACTCAACTGTCAGGTAGGGTATGTTCTTCAATAAACTTGATATGAAATTATGTAACACTAATTATATATCTCTTTGATTAGAAACTCAAAATCTTCACAAATCTTTGTGAAAATAATTTTCCAGAATTTATGAAAGCCAAAAAGGCTTTAGAGGGCCAGGGATTTAGCTCAGTGGTTCTGCCTCCTGCTGGGCAAGGTCCCAGTTTGATCCTCATTACCTAAAAAAAAAAAGACTTTAGAAAAAGTGTAATTTTGTTACATTGTGAAGAGTAAGAAATAGAATTTATCTTTTTCTAAGGATCTTTATATTTTGATTTCAGATTTCAGCCACAGTTCATTACATTATCATGGTTTATAAATGGATTCAAAACAATTGTAAGAATACTACAAGTTACAAAAATTAACAACAGAAATTTCTAATCATTATCATGTTTTCTGCAAAGCACTCTTGAAGGATAATATAAAAACATATATTAAGGATGGTATACCTTTTTAAATTAAATCATAGATTTCCTCCTTATTAAAATAGCAGATCAATAATACAGAATAACAAAAAGTGAATGCATGATCATAGAACACTATGTAGTAGACATGGAGATGTGCTACTCATATCGCCTTTTGAGGAAGGACTTGTTGCCCAGGTGTGAGGAATGTGGTGAGGACAGATGCCAGTTGTCACTGGGTTTCCTGTATCATCCATATCCTGTGACTGAGCTAAGCATGTGTACAAAGAAGGGCCATTTTGACTTGATAGACAAAACCTGATGGACAAAATTCATCCAGATCTTTGAGGTATATTGGCTGAGGCCCTGTCCAGTCTGCAGTTTGGCCTAGTTCTCTGCCTTGTCCTGATTCCTTTGTTGATTCTTGGTAAACAAAATACAACCCAAATTCTACGGTAGGGTTAGATTTTAAAAACTCAAACCTGTGACAATGAACAGTTTCTATTTTCTAATGCTGAATGCTCACTAAAGAGGGTAATGGATAGGCCAGGGATTTAGCTCAGTGATTCTGCTGCCTGCCTCACAAGCGCAAGGTCCTGAGATCAATCCCTGGTACCAAAAAAAAAGAAGGTAATGGAGAAGATGGATGTGATTAAAGTATGTCTCATGTGTGCAAATATCACAAAAAATATTTTGTACACTTAATATAATATTTATAATAAGATAATTAAAATTTCAGATTTGATATTTCAGCACTTTTGAGCTAAAAAATTTAAGTTTCATCTCTTTCAGACTAATATATCAGAATTTTCATGTAATTAATTCTCAGAAATAACATTATATTCTAATTATCAGCAGATACATCTAGGACCCATAACTCTATCATATATAGTTTTATAACTACTCTCATACTTACTGAGTGCTCAATATATTAGTTGATGCAATATGATTATTTTTAGGTACTTGTTACAGTGCCTTCCTGCTTTGAAATTCTGCTGTTAGCTCCACATTGTCAACAATGGGTGAAAAGGATTCGATATGTTATATTTGATGAGGTATGTTTGGTTTTATTTCTCTGGGTTAATTTTCTAGTGTGCATAAGCACTATAAGGAAGAACTTTGGTCCTTTGGGAATCTGTCTGCTGAAATTTAGATCAGGTAGGAGTGTGGCTCTTTCTTCTGGAAAGTTCCCTGAGTGCCTCCCTTCCCTTGTGTGACTCTACACGGTAGGTTAGTGGAACTTTCAAAGCTCTGTGTGAAGAGGGAATTTTGATTGGAGACAACTGTTTCAGGGTGAACAGAATTCAAATCCCATGACATAAGCTTCCCTGCATAAAGATTTCAAAATTGAATATTTATATTTTAAGCAGAAAATTTTGAGTTCTACCAAGGTTTTCAACTATTTATTATAGTATTGTCAGAACAGGAAACAAATGACACACAGAAAATACAACTGAAGAAAGCTAATTTTCAAAAGTGTGTGTGAGGAAACCCATACAGATTGTGCAGTAGGCCAGAGCTATTAACTTGCTCCTCTGCTTAAAGGGACAAGGTGAGAAAGTATTTATTTAAAGACATAGCATACAAAAATCCATCCCATACTTTTCTACTGTAAATTTACCCTTTAGCATAATAATAGTTGGCTATGTGTCTAGGTAGCTTCACTTGAGGGTTACAGGAAGCAATCTTTGCATTCACCAACTTGGTACAACAAACATCAAGGCGTGAGCATGTGTGCAAAAGTGTCAAAGTGGGAAATTTACCCACATAATGCTCCATGTAACCATTTTGCATATTCTTCCCTGAGCATCATAGGGGATAAAATACAGCCACAGCATTGATCTATTATGTAAACATGTATTGTACCATAATGGAATATGAGTGTGGCTCACAGTAGCTGGGCATGGGGAAAGCAGGAACACATCTGTGCATTTACTCACTTAGCAGACAAACAGCAAGGTATGTGGAGGAACTCCAAAGCAGCAACAGGTGTGCATTTAGGACTTGACGTTGGCCATGTGAGCCAAAATTCCTGTGACAGTGAAATGGAGCAAGAACTGACTGATACAGACACAAGGAATGAAGTCCTCCCTGATTCAGATGACAAAGAAAACAGCAATGTTAGTACATATTTGACTAGTCAAAATAGTACAAAATGCTCATGCAATCAAATGGAAAGATCCACTGTTAGAACTATATCCAAAAATGTAGTGAGGAACTGGGCAGGGGTGCAACCTATTGGATAGAATGCCAGCACTGCCATTCAATGTTGGAAATTGTAACCGATTAAATGCCACGAGATATTGTGAAATACACAAATGATGAAATACAAGGAAAATGTTCTATATGCACTGATAGCTATACTCAAAAATGTGTTTCTTATGATACCTCACTGTGATACTTCACTATGACAGCATTCATAGGTCTGCTGTATTTAACAGGGCTTTCTTGTGGTAATTGCAGGAATATAAAAGACTTATGGATGCAAAAGACTTATGAGTGTGGGCATCAGGGGTGTAAAATAACAATGACACTGAAGAGATTTGCTTTTCTTCAAAATTGCCTAAGGTTTATTGAGAAAATCACCTGCCAAGAAAGAAAGAAAACTGATAATCTGGCTGCTATCCATTCATTGTTTTAGAATTTTTTTCAAAAGGTCAAGCAATTTACACACCATTTGAATACATGATTATTGATGAACATCTTATAGCATTTCATGGTCCTTTACCGTTAGGCAATATATGACCGAAAATCCTTTCAAAATATGGCATATATATATATATATATATATATATATATATATATATATAATTTTCCAAATGAAATGCTGCAATTTAAAAACAGAGAATTGTATGGTACAATCTTTGGAATTCAGAAAGATATAACATTGGTTACATATATGGCAAAGAGAAACAAACTGGTTCCTCTGATGTCAACATTACACCATGATGGAAATATTGGTAGGGAAACCTTGACAAAACAGAAGTCTGATATAGTAACTTTCTACAACAAACCTAAAGGCAGAGTAGATGTTGCTGATGAGTCATGCAGAAACTATGATGTCACTGGAAACACAAAACCTTGGCCAATAGTTGTGTTTTACTCTATCCTAAATGTGTGCCATAAATCGTTTGATAGTTTACAAAAAAGATAACAAGTTCACAATACCACAGACCAATTTTCTTAGAGGATTAGGACTGGAACTCATAAGAGATCATTTACAGCAGAGGAAAAACAAAATATTCCTCCCCTGGGAACTAAACAAAAAAAATGTAGAGCACACTGGTGAGCTGACAGGTGAACAGGCAAGTGTAGCATCACGAAGACCTACTATAACAACGGGAAAACCAAAAAGATGTCAACAGTGCCCTACAAAAAAGGACATATGTACTATCAGCGTAAGTGATATTTGTGCATGGAACATGCAGTTTTCATGTGTGAAGATTGCATTGGATGTGACTTTTGAAGCAAAGACTATTTCTTTGGTAGACTTTTTTGTACTTTTTGTATTTACATTTTAGTTCACATAAGTTTTTATTTCTCAAATTATCTTTTAGATTTTTTAAGCAGATACACAGGTGATGTGACAATGTTGATATTTATTCTAAGCTCTCATTCCATATTTTATATTTTATTTTATTGATATCTTATTTTTCTGAAAAGTGCACATTGTACAATATAGTATTAAGCTGCTGACAAGAAAGGAAGACAAGAGAGGTGACAAGAATGGCTTGCCATATAGCAAAGGAAAGTAAGCACATGTTCTCAGTGTAAGTGAGACATGCTTGAAACATGCAATTGTCTGTCATGTGTGAAGATTATCTTGGGTGTGACAATTGAAGCAAATGTTATTTCTGTGGTAGACTTTTGTTTGTACTTACATTATAGTTCACATAGGTTTTTATTTCTGATGCTATCTTTTAGTTTTTATAAGCAAGTACACAGCTGATGTGAAAATGTTGATGCTTATGCTAAATGTTCAATAATATTAAGATTTTAATACTTCATTTTATTCATATTTTATGTTCTTGTCAACTATACATAGTATAACACAATAAGAACCTCCTGAAAAAGGAGCAAGCCCAGTGAGATGTCAAATGTGTCCTACAAAAAGGCCAGGAAAGCAAAACATGTGCTGTCAGTGTAAGCAATATGTGTGAATGGAGCATGCTGTTGTCATGTGTAAAGCCTACCCTTAGCTGTGATAATTGAAGTAAAGATTATTTTTGTTGTAGAGTTCTATTGGTATTTTCATTATAGTTCATATAGGAATTTATTTCTTTTGTCATTTTTTAGACTTTGTACACCAAAAATCTCACTATTCAAAATTTTGATACTTTTTTAGAAACAATCAAAAAATATTAAAAATTCAATACTTTATTTTTTGATATTTTTCCTTTTAAGTACTTATTGTTTAATATAATAAAATACATAAAATTAAAATCAATAATTTATCTATAAAAATATTATAAAGAATAAATGTGGGTATTATACAGCTACCACAATGAAGCTTTAACACAAAATTGGCATTATGCCCAGCGAAGTTTACTTAAACTCAAAATACTATTCACATTGAGTTGGCTACATTATAAGGAGTACTTTAGTTGAGGAGCACTGCTAGTTCAAGGTAATCTTGGAGGAATAGAGCCAATGGAACAATGACTTCAACCTCGTTCTCTTCTCTTCTTCTGATCCCTTGCCAAGGCTTTCTGTTGACCAGATCCAGTGGAACTAGTAAACATGACAGCCCTTTGAGGTAGTACCTATAGGTCAGTTTCCCTGAGAGAGTGGGATGAAAACAGTATAGACTGATAGGATCATATGAAGATATTTAGCAAAGTTGTATAGAAACATCATTAAGAATATTTACTCAAGGAGACGGAAAACATTTTGAAAGATATTGTTAAGATGGTTTGTGTTTAGATATCCCCCCGAAGGCTCATGTGGTCATGGGGGGGGTGTTTTTAGAGGTGGTTTGATCTAGAGGGTGTGATGCTGGAATTGATTCATGATGCAATACTATCCTCAAAGGCACTAGGATTAAGGATATGAGTGCTACCCGCTCTAAGTAGTGCCAGTAAGATTAAAAAAAACAAAAATGGAAGACACTGTTAAGTTCCCTTGTTGCTTTGCTACCTTCTGGCCATAATAAACTGTTTCTCTTCTGGCAAGCCACCCTACCTTGGAGCCAGCTGATTATAGACTGAAACCTTTATGAGCTGTCAGTCAAGTAAACCTTTCCTTCTTTAACTTTGGGTGTCAGGTATTTTGTCTCAGCATTGAGAGAAAAGTAACTAACACAGATATATTCTTTTGTTCTAAGGAATTTTCAATTTGCAAAAGATAACTAGGCCATATTTAACTTACCTTTTCCTTGTTATAAACTTGGAATTGCCAAACATACTGTGCCTTGATTTGTTTGGCATAAATTTATTATATTTATTTTTGGTTAATCAGTAGATGTTGCATCATGAGTCGTTTGCATACTCCTGTTAAACAAAATTCAACAAATTTGTATGTACTATTTAGAACCTTGACTTGTCTAGCGTCAAATCTCTGAGGTGCTATAACACTGGAATCTTACTTTAACCAAGTTTATGTAAAGGGATAGCTGAATAGCACTGACGGCTGTTCTGACAGCAGAGAAAAAGTGATACATATGTATGCATAAATACTTACATAAATATATATTTATGCAGTTCTTACTCTAAATCCTTTTCAGTTGATTGTCAAGAATCATAATTTAATCTGTTTAATCCCCTAGTCTATTTAATTTATTTGATCAAAAGACATTCATTCACTAATTCAGCAAGTATTCAAGGAATGCTTCCAGAGTGTCAGGCATTGTGTCAGTGCTAGGAATATCTAGGTCTAGGGTAACAGTTTAACTGAGAAAGAGAAACTGAACATGTAAACACATACATGACTGTAAGCCTGTACTAGCAAGTACTGTGAAGGGAAAGAGCAGGCTGTCATGACCATAATAATGACAAGGTCACAGGATAACAACTCTGGAATTGGTGGCCAAAAAACTCTTTTATGAGGAGTGACATTCAAATGAATTCTATAGGTTCAATAAGAGGCAATACTAGTATTTATTGTTGTTTTAAAATTTTATTCATAAGAGTATTTTAATCGAAAGGAACAATAATGAGAACGCTCTCGGGTAGGAATGGTGTGGTCAAGGAATAAAGAAAATATTGGTATGTCCAGACCATAGTAAACATGGGGGGAGACTGGCTCAAAATAAATCTAGATTGGCATTGATGGCCAAATTATGTCAGGCATCACAAATTCTACTCTGAAGTTTACATTTTATTCCATGTGAAATGGAAAGATATGAAGGAAATTTATTTAGGGATGTGGCTTGATAGAGTTTATCATTAAAACATCATGCAGCAGTGATGTAAGGGATATAGGTTGGCAAGAAAGGAAGTAAGGACAGTCTTCAAGAGGCTATTGTGGTAGGGGCTTCATTGGCAGTGGATATGAAGAGAAATCCATAGGTTTGAAGGAAAGTTTTGGAAGTAAAGCCAAGAGGAGTTATTTTGGGTGATGTATGAGGACTTTGGAAAATTGAGGTTTCCAGCTTTTCTATTGCCTGGATTTTCTAATACATATTTAAACGTGGCATACTTAATTAATGCTAATGAGATTCTATGCATACGGATTTCATGTCTTATTTTCATTTTCTGTTTTTAAGTCAACTTTTTCAGTTGAGAACATTTTTTCTTTAACAGGTCCATTGTCTTGGTGGGGAAATTGGAGCAGAAGTCTGGGAGCATCTCCTTGTCATTATCCAATGTCCCTTTTTGGCTCTTTCGGCTACCATAAGTAACCCTGAGCATCTGACAGAGTAGGACTGCCTTCCAGTTTGAAATGAATTGTTGCCTGTCTTAGCAGTTTGAATTTTATATTTTCTGTACAGGTTTTGAAGAGTTTCATAACTTTCTGGTTAACTAATAGTTTATGTCTAGATCTTCGAGACAGTGCTTTCTAGCACTTACTGGCAGGTGCTGGCACCCTCTAGAAATAATGACTCCCCAGAGCAGCCAGATCTGCAATTTAGTGGGAAATTTCTTGCTAATATAAAAAAAAACTTAATAAGAAATGATAACTATATGACCTTTTTTTACCAGGAAACAAAAAATAAATAGATACAATAACACATTCAGCCAAGACACTAAGGAGTATGTCCCACTTAGTAGAGATGTCTAGATCGCTTCTCGGCCTTTTGGCTAAGATCAAGTGTAGATATGTCTAGAAAGATACCAAAGCTAATCAATTGAAAGTTGCATATTATGTTTCTCATTAAGGTTGATTTTTGCACAATAACAATAATTATAACATTGAACCCTATAATACTTCCTATGTACCAGTTACTGTTCCAAATACTTTCCATGTACTGTATTAGTTTATTTTAAATGCCAGCAAGTCTTAACGATTTACTATTTTTCCATTACTATTATTAGAAAACAGTGCTTCTGTTACTACTACTATTACTACTATTACTATCCCTACTATTATTACTACTATTGCTACCATCACTATTACTATTATTTCTACTTTAAAATGTGGGAAACAAGGTACAGAGATTAATTGTTATAACCAAGAGCCACATCTTGCAGAATTTAGGCTGTGATTCAGTCTCTCAAATACATTTTTAAGGCACATGAAATTGTGAGTTGTCTTTCCTGAAACTATTTAATTAATGGGAAATATTTCCATTTTCTGCCTGTATAGTATATGTTTATTTTTAAGGTGGCTGCAATCAGTCAAACATTACTGGAAACATGAAGACAGAATAATAGAACAGAGGATGACCTCCAAGAGAAGTGCTGGCTGTCGTGCCAGGTTTTCCAAAGACTACTTGCAAATAAAGCAATCTTATAAAGTTAGGCTTGGTAGGTTAGATATATTCATATAAATGTTTTCTTTGACTTTAAAATTCTTCCCAGTCTTTCCACTTCCATTAATTAGGAATGTTATGTCATTCACTTTTAGTGCCCTATGGAGAGAGGTACAATGATTTAGAGAAGTACATATGCTCTGTCAAACATGATGACATTTGTTTTGATCACTTTCACCCATGTGCTGGACTGACCATAGATCATGTAAGTAACAACACTGCCATATTTGTTCTGAGTAATAGAAATTAATATATTCTAATTGAAAAACTGCTCACTTGATACCTACCAGAATTGAAGAATACATGCCTTACAACAGATGTTTCCACCTTGATTTTACAGATAACAGGAATGTCCTTTCCAGTTTCATGGGTTCTTCAGTGGTATTTGGATTTACAAAGCTTAAAAACTACTAGAGTTTTAACCTGAATTTAAAAAGTTCTATTTATTCTTGGACATTGTGTTTGGACATATTCTTTCTCGTCAGCACCCTTCTCTCAATACACCTAAAAATTCATTTGAACAACTTCTTGTTCCTATGAGAGTCTCATCATCATGAATCAGGTTTAACAAGGAAAAACAATTCTCCCTTGTTTAAAAATTTATATATTTATTGGTACATTTTAGGTATACAATACATTTACATTTATCATTGATGTTTGTACCTGAACATGATGTATCTTAGTTCTTATTTTTTCTCCCATTACATGTGCTCCCTTCACCCCCTCCACCCTTCCATATTTACACAGACTTTGATTCCAATTTTTTTCTTTCTCATAATTTTCCCTATCCCTTCTTCCCTTTCCCCTTCTCCTCCCACCACCCTGCACCCTTTTACCTTTTCCTATTTCAAATTATCAATTATTCATTTTAATCATTTTCATCCTTATTTACAATTTCAGTTTCTCAAACTAGAGAAACTATTTGGTATTTACACGTGTGTCCTATTTATTTCACTTAAGAGTGTGGCCTCAATATGCCTCCATTTAGCTATAAATATCTCTAGTTTCTCATTCTTTATGGCTGAGTAGTACTCCATTTTATAAAAAAAAAAACCTCATCTTCTTTATCCAGTTTCCCGTTGATGGGCACTTGGACTGTTTCCAAGCTTTAGTGATTACAAATGGTGCCGCTATAAACATAGGTGCACATATATCACTGTGGTATGATTCTTTTAATTCTTTGGGGAAGATTCCCAGTAGGAGAATAGCTGGGTCAAATGAGACGTGTAGACCTAGTTCTTTGAGCTATCTCCACACTGATTTCCACAGTGGTTGCACCATTCTAAACTCCCACCAACAATGGAGAAGGGTTCCTTTCTCTCCACACCCCCATGAGCATTTGTTATTTGTTGATTTCTTGATAGCAGCCATTCTTTGTGGGGTGAGGTGGAATCTCAGTGTTGTTTTCATCTGCATCTCTTGAATGACCAGTGATGTTGAACATTTTTTCATATATTTAT